AGGCGGGGTCGGGAGGGGACTAGGGAGGCCCGCACGCAGCAGGACGGCCATCCGCAGGACCGGGACCCGACGGCAGCGGTTATTGCCCCAGGTAGCATGAGCCGGGCTGGGAGCACGCGGGGGCTGCTGGGTCCCGTGCCAGGACGGACAGGCCATCATCGGTCCCTTATCTAGGGGAAAGGAAGCTTCTGTATTTATTTTGTGGCATTAAACCTAATAGGAAAAAGTTGCTTTTTCACTCCAGCTAGCGCCCCCGCCACGGGCTGGCTGCTAGCCCCAGAGCGGCCCTGGAAAGACAAACACAGCTCTTTTCCTGAACGTAACACAGGCCTCCTGTAAACCGGGTTCTTTGTTCAATCCTCTGGTACCGTTTTCTCAGTTGCAAGCTAACCCACCCAAAACACCGGGAAAGCCATGCCGAGGCCGGGGGAGAGCTGGCAGCTGCTTGCATAAACGGCACCAAAGAAAAGGGGAGAAGGGGGCCAGGTGTGATGGGGAGCGCTGGACGGTGACGCAGCCGCCGCCTCCAATCACAGCCTTCTCACTCTTCCTCCCGGGGGCCGGCATCCCCTACCGCACCGCCCCAGACCCGATCTTCGGTAGTACGAAAAATAAGGGCGAGCTTGAAGATGGGATGTAATAACCTGAGCAGGGCAAGAGAAAAGAGAACTGCAGAGGGAGGCCGGCGCTGAGAGAGCCCGCTCGCGCAGAAGGCCGCCTACATTGGGAAATAAATAAAAGCACAGATTTTTCAAGCAATTTCCTGCTTCCCCGGGAGAGAGGTGCTGCTGCTCCTGTTCACCCCGGGCTGCCGCCGCCGTCAGGCAGACCGCGGGGTTTTCCACCTGCTGCTGTGAAGAAAGTTGGCTTCGAATTTACCCAGGAGGAGCTAAAGTGGGGCTGGTCCTTCCTAACTTAGCTGCTGTGTCGCACCCGAAGGAGATCCCCCCCCAAGTGCAATCATGCTAAGGTGGTTTTTTTTTTTTTTGATCTACAACGCCAGCTCCTCAAAGATACCTTTTAATATCTACGACTTTTAATATAACGGGCTTAACTTCTGCGCTTCCCAACGCGCACAGGCGATTCCGAAGCGGGCTCTGCGCCGCCGGAGCATCTCCTGCTCCCGCCGGCGAGCGGGGCTCCTCCTGCCTCCTCTCCCCCGAGCCGGGAGCCCGGCTGGCAGCTGACGCCACGGGAGGACGTCACCCCTCGTTTACAGCAGACATGCTCAACCTGGGCTGCTAATTAGTGGCACGAAGAGGGAGCGACTTCCCCCTGCAGCGGGAAGCAGCTAATAAACCAATTAGGATAATGGGTAACTGAGCAGATAAAACTCTTAAGCTATGGGCTAACAGGTCACAGATGGATGCAGGGCCTTTCCTGCCTGCTCAGCAGAGGGGCAGGCTGCAGCCCATGCGTGGGCAGCGAAGCCTGGCCCTCCCCGGCGGCTCTGGTGATTCCCGGGGCAGGGAAGAGCTTGGGACATGTTTCCGCAGAGAGCTTCACTTTGCTCCCGGGTAGCTGCCAGGCCAAAGTCCTGTGGTTCCCGTGCAGATGCTGTGTTTTCCATGCCAATGCTCTGCTCCTGGGGACCTCTGCCCGGCTGCGGGGACGAGCCAGCCAGCCTGCGTCATGCCAGGAGTTTTAGCTATTTCTGAGGTGGCCGCCAGGCAAGGGGGAGGCTGCAGAGCCGGCTCATCGGGCTGCTGCCCTGCTCAACGCTCGCTGCCGACCGCGGGCGCTTGGGCAAGGGGAGCAGAACAGGCCCCGTCTGGGGTCTGACGGGCAGGAGGCCTCCCGCGCTGGGCCAGGCAGCAGCAATATTGCAGGCTTTCTAGGATGGCGGAGACAAAAATGCTAAAGGTATGCCTATCAAGGTTGCCTGCAGTTCCTCATCCTCCCTGCGTGCCTCCGGCCCCAGCAGCACGTGGACCGGGAAGCTGTGCTCGCCACCACGGTGTCCCCTTGGCCGTGCTGCTGCCACGGGGTGAGATGACTGATGGTGCCACCAAAAGAAAGACTGTTAAAAATGCAATTTAAATAAGACCAGTCAGGGCTTTGTAGCCTGCAGAGCAGATGCCCTGAGTAAACGTTGGTGCACGTTTCCTTTCTTGGAATAGTCCAGTCAACCAGGGAAAAGGCCTCAAGGTAAGAAATGAAGTCTCCTTCTGCCATCCCCACCTGAGACTGCCCAAACAAATGAGGTAGTATCGGTCCATCGAAAGCATAACTGGCTTATTTCCAGGTCTGGGGCACGTGAGTGGGTCAGGAACTGCTTTTCAATTGGGAAAAACCCAAGATGCCAAGCCTGGACCTGCTCTGCACTGCCTGCTCCCGCACAGTGCGGGGCCCGGTTCTTGAATCACCTGAGCTTTGCTGCAGGCAAATGAGAGAGAAACACCACCCAAACTGCTCCTCTGTGGCTTTAGCAAACCAGAATAGATCTCGTTCCTCCCTGCAACAGCACCGGGGTGCATAGGTGCAAATGCTCCCCTCTCCCTATGGAGACCCCTCGCAGGAGAGCCTTAAATCACAGGTGGCTTTTCAGAGCGTTGCACGGGTTGGTACCCGATGCACTGGGCTGTTCCTGCTTTTCGGGGAGTGTGGGGGAGAAGTGGTGCCAGCGCCTGGGCTAAGGGATGGAGCTGGGGTCCGCTGTGCCGGGCACGTGTCCGCGGTACGAAACGAGCCCTGGCTCGAGCTGCTCCAGCCCGTGCTGGGGTCCAGGCGGCAGCGCTGCTTCCCGTGTTTGCTGGCGCTTTGCAGGCTGCAGTGAGGCTCGGCGTTAAAAGTGACCTCGAGCTCGTGGCGGGAGTGCTTGCAAGAGCCAGCAGGCGACCCTCAGCACCCGCAGCTAACT